GCAATGGTAATGCTACAAGAGAACAATCAATTAACTATGGAAGTTACAGCCGCCTTTGCTGTAAAATTTAAAAACTAATGGGGAAACCAAGAGGCCTGATGCTTACTACACGAGACAAAAGATAGCCCAGTGGTCTAGAGTTTTAGCCTGGCCTGAGGTTCAAATCTTACGTCTTTGGGCAGCACCCTTAATACCTATATCAAGGCTCTGACCGTTAATCTCGAGCAGTCACGTTAGTTTTAAATTCGTCGTATTTTACATAGTTGAACACTTATGATTGAGGTGTATACCTAATGGCAGATTTACAGTCTTATGGCATGTACAATGCAGTTTATTACAAATCTGATGCCGAAGTTGAAGTACCAATAATTCAAAATTTCCATACCATATAAAGTGTGGATGACATCTGCAGAATGAGCCTCAAGTAAGTAAGTGTTAGTTTATAATGTTCTATTCGGCATTTAAGAGGTCTGCATCACTATAACACGTATGTATGGCTTTGATTGACACTGGAGGGTTCCTTGGAAGGTTTTAACCAATAGAGGTCGAACGACTCAGTACCGTTAGTCCATAGTTAATAGAGGAGAATGGTCGCCCTCCCCCCTATTAACTATGGTCTGTCCAAAATCAAATCGCTGCACATGCTCAGCACAAGAGGGCAATGGAAACTTAACGACAAAATAACATACAATATAAAATCTCGATTTCTCCATTTAATCTAGCAATACATAGATGCAAAAGATCTTTTGCTATCTTGTCTAACCAACTCAAAAATTTTGGATTTTTTATAGTTTTTCGGAGAAGACACCAGTCCACCCAATACAAAATCAAAATACACAATGGACTGCTTACTGTCAGATGAACTGGTAGGTGTTGTGGTAATGGTGGGTGTTATCCCAGTGTTTCGTGTTCCTCTTATGGCACTGACACGAAGATCTTCAAACCTTCCATTCTCCTTAGCATCTCGAAGTATAGAAAGAACCTCGCTTTCTCTTACAGTGGAATTGAACTTCAGGGCCAGATCAACGATCACACTTCCACACCTTGGAAGAAAAACAGCGACACACTCAAGTTCAAACTAAAATGATGACCAAAATGAACAGAGGCTTCTTTCACTTCACAAACTCTCAGATGGTCAATTTCACACTAACCAAAGCGTTTGAACAAAAATTAATGACGTGGAGCGAATTTATTTTGACATTGAGCATGTGTAATTGTTAGAGCTCGTTTTGTGTTTGACGTTCCAGTTGTTACACAGATAAGTTCGTTACCCGTTAGATTTTTTCGTTTGTCTCTCTGTACGATGGGTAACAAGAGAGAATGAGTTTATGGAGAATGCACTGTTCGATGAAACAGTCAAAACCGGTTATATCAAATCACGTCAAGGGAAGAATATTTGTGTGTATGAGTAATCGTTCGTTAAACCCAACCAAAACCTATGTCCATTTGTTTAACACTTTTTAAAACATTGTAATTTTCTCTATCCCTTCGTTTGTTGTTTGCATTCTGTTTCTGCATAATCATTTCCTGGTCAAATGAAAATCGCTGTTGGCATCCCGTTTGCGCGTATCCGGCTGGTCGGTTGGTCAGCTTCTAGTTTTTTCTCTGCTGTAGCATTTCCTGATCAATTCTTGAAGTTTTAGGCAGATTAATTACATGTAGGCATGTTTTTCTCATCCTGAATAGCAAATCTCGTCTGGAGAAAACATCGGAAATTACGTGTACTGGCCTAACACATCTTAAACGTGCCGAACAAACGTCTGAATGTTTTCTGTCCAGGATTTAATTCAGTTGAAAAGAGAAAGACACGGAAATTTGTGAAGTTCAAGTATGTAATCAATCTGAATCTGTGTTCATACAGTACCTGATATTTTTCTGTTCCACACTTTCATAACCCAGTTTACCAGCAAAGATCTCCCCGATCTGAAAATCAACGTTTTAAATGTTGAACTAATCTATTTATTACTAAGCATTTTAAAATACATATTATAGTAATTCAATGAACACGTTCAGTGGTAACAGGTAATAACAACGTTGTACATACACGTGCCTTACAGCCCTTACATAAGCAAGTTAGTTACCGTTTTGTTGAGTTCCTCCCATAGTTGATTGTATTCCCCATCAGTGCACTGTTCACTCGTGATAACCAGGGTCACATTGATTACATCACTTGCTATGACTAATAATCAAACATGAATTCAGTTAGCAAGAGAAATTGTACCTTTAATATACAAACGAATACATGGAAACAATTTCATGCCCTCAAACCAGTTCTTGAAACAATTTTAGTTGCCTTTGTTGATTTTCCATCAAGTCATATAGTTAGACTATTTTCCAAATTCCGCGCGCGAGGTAGTCACACTATTAGGCCACACCGTGTTCCCTCCAAGACAGGATGTCTCGTAGTGACGTGAGTCAAAGAACTTAAATGTGGGTTTTTTTTAATGATTATCAGATGAACAATTTGATGGCTTTAATATGGCGGATGACTGAAGAGGCTCGAAGAACGAAATATATATCGATGGGCAATAGCTTGTGCAAGAAATTTTTTTAACATTGAAAATCAAAATAGTGATAGTAGTCAGAGAAGACTCGCCCGATCTTTCCCCATGGCACGATTATTATTATTCTTTTATTTCAGCAGTTTATGTTGTGTAGGATTTTGAAGGGGGGAGGGGGGAAAGAAATTGCCCACCTTACTCCAAAATATTAATGGTCTGATCCTCATCTACAAATCTACCATTACACTCAGGAGATTCTTAATATGTGTATTACAGAAAACACTACGGATGGAGTGACTAGCCGCAATGGTTGATTGTGGCCTTTTAAATAAACAGCATTGTGTAAGGAGAACGGTATGCTGGACTCAGGCACCCTCGGTCAATTTCCTTTTTTGCCCTACCAACCAACTCACTTGTATGAGAGGGAAGGCAATGGGAAACAAAACATTTCATGGGGCTGGCCATGGTTCTTGTGTACCCCATGAGACCAAGACATTCACAAAAACAGTGTCAATTATTGTAGGGAGAAGACATTCACTGCGCTAACCAGGTGGCAAAATAAGGGTTAGGGAGCTGTTGGGGGTAACATGACAATACAAGGGGGTTACCTAGCATGACTATACATGTGAATTTACTTACAATGGACAAAATACCCTGCAGCAACTGCTGATGTACTCGTAATGAAATGGGTTATCGAAAGAAAATGACAGTAACTACAGGATGAGCTAGTCAATTATAATATTGTACATCTACTTAAAGGATTACAGCTGTCTGTGTTATAAAACATTTTTATGAAAATAAATAATTAATACAGATGCAAATCCACTTGACTACAACTAATCTGCTTTTACTTATTACTTACACAGACTGGTATTTGCTGTATCACTGCC